GAGATGGCAGAACCATTCACGCTGCAAACACTAGGTGCTCGGGGCTGGGATCCGCAATATGGGAGGAGGAGGGGCTGAGTGAGGAAAGCCCGGCCGCTGGCCCGGCCAGGGGCACGCTGAGGTGCCAGGGAGTGAGAACACACTCTGCTTTACAGAGAGACCCCAGTCCAAGAGCAGCTTGGAGCAGGGGTGACTTTGCCCACCTGAGCCGCACAGCTGCTTCTGCAGGGGCTTGGTGAAAGCCGAGCAGAAACAGGCAGTGGAGGGGCTGGCGAGTAGGGCTGCAGACCTCAGCTGGGTGAGGTGCAGCATGGCATGATGAGGGCACATCAGTTGAGGGCACAGTGGCCAGGCGCAGGGAGGACCTCGTGGGTCAGGGGCATCCCCTGGGGCATCAGGGGTAGGGCTCCAGGGAGAAAGAAGGAGTCCAGGGAGCAGAGGCACAGCCTGGTTCTCAGCCCAGCATGGCACCCTCGTGCTTCCACATCTCCTAGGAGTGTTGAAGACGCTCCTCAAGGCAGACTTCCTTTTCTTTTCTTTTCTTTTCTTTTCTTTTCTTTTCTTTTCTTTTCTTTTCTTTTCTTTTCTTTTCTTTCCTTTCCTTTCCTTTTCTTTTCTTTTCTTTTCTCTTTTCTTTTCTCTTTTCTTTTCTTTTCTCTTTTCTTTTCTTTTCTTTTCTTTTCTTTTTTTCTCTTTTCTTCCCTTCCCTTTCCTTTCCTTTTTTAGTATTTCTTTTTTAGTTTGCACTGAACTACCTCCCCAGTCCTTTTATTATTATTATTTTTTTTATTTTTTTGACAGAATATCACTAAGTTGCCTGAGTTGAGCTCAAAGTTGCAATCTTCCTGTCTCAGCCTCCCACAGTGCTAGGATGGAAGGCCTGACCCACCACTCCTGGCTAAAGAATAGACTTTAGGATTAGAAATAGTAAAGTCAGAATCTTGCAGTGTAAGCCTTGGCCAGTTAGAACTTGACACCCACTCTCATGGTCAATTTAAACCTAGCTGCCTGTGGAGCACCTGCCTCCTCTGCCGAGGAATGTGGCTTGGAAGCTGAGTTCATGTGGACACCAAGCTCCTCTGGACTTATCGTCCTCCACTTTGGGAAGTCCACAAGCTGACACCCCCATCCAGTGGTCACGCATGGGAAGTGTGAAGACACCAAGTCATTGAAATTATCCTTGGTACAATCCATCAAAGCCCACGGGGCTTGAGGTGAGTCAGGCGCAGTCTTAAGCTCTAGCTGTAACCCTGCCTAGACACAGGGCATCTTAGGGCAATGTTCTGCACTTCAGTAGTTCTGTGTGTGAGGGGAGGATGATCATATCTCCCTGGACTAGACACAGTGCATACGAAATGGGCAGATGGGCACCAGGCTTCACCCATGAGCTCCCCATCCCCAGTGAAGCTTCCTCCTTCACGTACTGTCTGACTCTCCATCAAGTTACTCATAAATACTCAGTCCCAGTGACTCTGCTGTCTTTTGACAATTGGTTGATAGTTCAAAATACAGTCAGAACCCTGTCCTCAAACTGATTTGAATTCAAATAAGAAAGCTTTGTGTTTTACACTTCATTTACTTTGACTACTTTATAGATAATGCAGGGGTTAATCTTTAGATTGCCCATGGAGAAAAAAGATTTCCAGGAAACAATAGCAATATAAATAAAATGGGATGAGGAATATTTTACCAACTTAATAAAGTGAGCTCTTTTCAGAGAAAATAGCCCTAAATTACATATAATTACAGTACTAAATGCAAATGAATTTATCCACTCATCTTGACCATGTCGGTCATTAGCGTGGATTATATGCTAGTCATTAGTTTTTATTATAAGAATTTAGAAGGAACTGAATGGGTTTTCATTAAAAACAATCTCAGAAACACTGTAAGCAATTAAGAGTACCCTCCTGCAGTGATAAACATAAACTTCTGTAGCGAACTTATTACATGCTAGGCAGGTTCCCGGGTTGTCCCACCTAAGGGATATTTGGTGCATTTACCAAGTGTGTCCAACTCATTTGTATGTGGACCCACCTGGGTTCCACTGTTACAGGAAACTGGATTCAGTTAGTGAACCAATGTAGACCGTGCACATCTAACGCCCATATCACTCTGCCATCCCCAGGGACAGATCCCTGCCAGCACCGATAGAATTCAACTCAAGCCAGCACCCGCAGAGTGACAGGTGGTGCAGCAGACACCTGGATAGCACTTTTCCTTCTCACTATGCTCCTTGCCTTCCCAGTGCTAACAACAGGTCACTGGTGTACTCGGTGAGTCTCTTCCCAGGTGCGGCCCGCTGACCCTGGAGAGCACCACTCTCAGAGGGCCTCGAGGATGAAGGTATGGCCATGAGAGGACAAGGAGTCTCCCACCTTTCGCACTGTGTGTTCCTTTTCACCAGTGGTACAGAAGCTATGCTGGGAACAACAGGAGGTTGCTGACTACGAGCCAGGCAACAGCATCCTGCTCCACAGAGTGAAGGCCTGGGCCACTGAAAATCTTTGAGGAGGCAGGAACTGGTTTTGCTTTGAACACCTCCTGAGATCGGAGTACACAAAGCCGTTGCCGTACACACTGGGGTCTCCTCTGCAATGCCCCTCTGCCAGACCAGCTTGCCTCCAAGCCAACTGACTATGGGCTGAAACCTCTACAAACTGTGAGCCAAATAAACCTTTCCTCCTTTAACTCTGGGTGTCAGGTATTTTCTCTCAGCAATGAGAAAAGTAACTAAGACACATAGCAATTTTTTTGTTTGTTTGTTTTTGTTTCTTTCCGGTACCGGGAATCGAACTCACGACCTTGAGCTTGCCAGGCAGGCGCTGTGCCGCTGAGCTAAATCCCCAGCCCTGACACTTAGCAATTTTAAACACATTAACAGAGCTTTAAAGTATGTGAAACAAAGATTGATAAAGATGCAATTACAAATAGACAAGCCCACAACTCCAGCTGCAGATCTATGCACATCTGTCCTCATGACAGATGGAACAAGGAATCAAAAAATGACAACAGTCTCATCTTGGAGGACCTGAGTAGTAACTGTGACTTGATAGACACTTACAGAACACTTGACTCTGCAGTATCATGTGGGTTCTTCTCAAGGTCATGTGGGACATTTAACAAGGTATAGCATATTCTCTGCCATAAAACAGTCATCAATAAATTTGAAAGGTGTTGTGTTATAAAAAGTGTGTTGTCTAACCACAGTGATCCTTGCAGAAATTCTCAGACATATGGAAGCTAAAGAGAACACTTGTACACAATCCATGGAACTGAAAAGGAAATATAAGGGGAAATGGAATGTAGTTTAAACTGCATGGAAACTAAAATGCAATGGCAACAGCAGAACAAAAACCCCTGCAACATATCCAAATCGCTTGGATGGCACCAAAGCAGTTCTTAGAGGGAACTTCACAGCACTAACCATCCTCCTTAAAATAAAAGAAAGGCCTTAATCACTGGTCTCAGCTTTAACCTTCAGGAACTAGGTAAATAAGAAAAGAAGCCCAAAATAATCAGAAGAATGGAGAGGAAAGTGGCTTCAAAACGTGGCTGCCCTGAGTGTCCCCGACCCCCAGGCTGGAAGCCAGCCTCAGTGGGGATCAGCTTCTCCTTGGCATTCTCCCCAGTTCTCCCGGCTTCCTGATTCCCCTTCTCCAGAACACTTTTCAAAACAATTAAAAATCACTGGAGGGGATTTGAGTGAGACCACGAATTGCTTCATACTTTAGCCACAGGTGGGGCCATGAAAGCTTGTGTGATTAGGGGTAACATTTATGGTGCCATAGCTTGGATGCAGCTAAGTGTGCCCTGCAGGCCACAGGGGTTGACACTAAATGCCCAGTGGTGGGATTAAGAGGGCAGAAACTTAATCCAGCTATGGTGTTCAGAGGTGGGGCCTTTGGGATGGGATTGGCATGGGACAAGGTGATTGGACGGGAAGCCAGTGCTTGAATTCTCTTTCCTTGTAAGAGTACAGAGACCAGGAGATGCTGGTTCCCTATCTCCTGCCCTGTGATGCCCTGCAGCAGCTTGGGACTCAGCTGTGAAGGAGCCACCAGCAGAAGCAACCCCTGCACCTTGGGGACCGCGAGCCAAAATAAACTTGCTTTCTTTACCTTGGCCCCATCCGTGGCATCGTGCTATTGGCAACAGAATCTCGGTTCTTAAGACCAACTTTCTGATAGCTACACTACAATCGACTGTATTTCTTCACCGCTCCATTTGAAAAACCTCCTCTCGCTAAATAACATTCCTGTTCCTGCCCAGTGTTATGGGTCACCGCTTTCCTTCAGCGCTCACCCCCCTTTAGTGGGCGCAGTTCTCTGCCCTTGAGTTTCCCACTTCTGTCTTTAAAACAGTGAAATTGTCCCCAGGGGGAAAAAGCCGAGCTTTTGTGCTTTTACTCGTGATCTCTCAGCTCGTTCCTGTTATCAGTCTGTTGTGTAAAGCAGCACCTATGAGGTTTCAGGAACTAATCTCCAGAAAAGGGAAGCCCACAGCCATGGCACTGCCCAACCAAACCAGCATTGTACGCAGAGGCTGCTGCACACCCTCCGTCTTACTAGTCCAACTAAAGCGATTCACAGAATTTTCCAAATAAATTGCAACTGACTGAAACTGCCAGTCCTCATTTTAAAATGCTATTTAATGGTATAATTAGGAGGCTATAATTACATTTTGCCCAATTTATTTTTTAAATATTAAAAGCATTAAAATATCAAATGGCAGTATTAAAAATAGGAAGAACAGTCCTGAAGATACATTATGTCTCATACATTAGCTGCTGTACTGAAAGGCATCAATGTTAGAGTATCCGGAACTTTTTGCACCATGTATCTTTAGAGCTCTACAAATAATATAGATGCACCGTAGTTGATAAGTCACATCTTCAAACCGAGAGGACAAAGGCTAAACAATAATGGCAGATGGGATTATGTGTAGTATATGCTGGCAAACAGCATCCTTCCCGAAGACAGCTTTACTTTGTCTCCTACCTGAAGTCAGAGCCCGCTCTTCTGCCGTTCTCTGGAATCCCAGGGTCTGGGCACATGTCAGAGGCCGATGAAACGCCACCTTGACTCACTGTAATGGAGAGATCAGTATTAGAATGCTGTGTAATTGTCAAAAATATGCAGAGTGAATTCACGCTAGGCATAGTCAGTTCTTTGCTCATGAACACGTGATGTCTCTAGGAATTAAGACATAAGTACTGATCTCATGGGACAAGTAGCCAATACTCAGAGAAGATAGAGCCTTTATCCATGTCCTGTGGGTTGCAGTACAGATGCCAAGTACCCAGAAAGACCCACACAACAGAGACTGTGAAGAGCACTGCTCGTGATATTCTAAACGAGAAATGCGCCTATGCTCGAGCTGATACATGTAATGGTCTATTTGTAAGTGTGTGCCTGTTTGGTTCTGAATGTCTTCCCAGAGGAGCTGGTCCTCTGTTGGAATTTGCACCACTTCAGAAAAATTGTCTAGGGGCTGGGGATTCAGCTCAGTGGCACAGCATCTACCTGGCAAGCGCAAGGTCATGAGTTCGGTTCCCGGTACTGGAGAAAAACCAAAAAAAAAAACCAGAAAAAATTGTCTAAAGGCCCTATTTGCCAACTCGACTTAGGGGCTGGCTCTCCTGTTCCAAGTTATGTCCCTTGTATCTCTCAACCTGGGCATCTTTCTCTTTACTGCAAGAAATGTCTTCACAGAAGGCCTGTGACTTGATTCAGTTTAGTGCCACCGGGACATCCTTGGTGCTTCTCCTCTGAGGGACCTCATTCTGTGCTAACAGAATAGCTCTCCTTTTCCCTGGACTTGCCTATGCCTCCCATGAAAGTGGAATTCTGGGGCCATTGCTGGAGTCCAAGGACAGAAGCACCTGTGTGGGTGGACAGGGAGAGACACATTGAGAACCTGGATTCTCTTCACGGTCACTGAGGCAGAAAATCAACCCAAGAAGCAGCTACTGTAACTCTGAACTTGCAGTGGGATGATTCATATAATTATAGTAGCTTAAAGACATTTAAATAGGCAATTCTATTCCATGCAGGTAAAAGGGATATATAAATTTGAGACACTGAAGAAACCCCACTAAGAAGGATAAAGGCAGAGAGATCGATGATAACACATTCCAATCAAATTATTGAAAGACACAGAGAAAGAATCTTGACAGCAGAAAGAGAAGAATGAGTCATAAACTAGGAACACTGAAGATCATCAGCAAATTTCTCAACAGAAATTGTGCATTTTCAAAGTGGTGGGATGACACATTTAAATGCTGAAAGAAAAATACTACCAACTGAGAACTCTATATCCTGCAAAACTTCCTCGAGACTGAGGGAGACTAGCAGATATTTTCCATCAAAAGGTGAGGGAGTTCATTATCAGTAGACCCAGTCTACAGAAGAATTGCTGAAGATTCCTTCAAGTTGAAAAAACATCAAAGAGTAACTTGAAACTACATCGAAATAAAAAAACTCCTGTAAAAGCACACACAAGGAAATTATAGAAACTAGTGTTATACTAATTTTGATTTAAACTCCACTTTCTCTTTAATGTAGTGTTTAAAAGATGAATGCATAAATTACTATACATTTGTATTAACAGAAGCATAACAGAGAGAGGAAATTTATACCATCAGTGCCATAAAGTGGTGAGGAAGGTAGGTGAAGAGTAAATTTTTTGTACATGATTAAAGGTGATAGGATTAATTTAAAATGTGTCAAAATTTAGGATGTTGTGTGTAATTTCCATGGCAACTGCAAAGAAAGTATCTATAGAATTTGCATAGAAATGAAAAGATCACAATGTGCCATTTTTAAACAATGACAACTAAATCATAAATGAAGACAGTGATGGAGGGCGGGGTGGGAAGCTGAGACACCTGGGAAACAACAGGGTGATGAGGGTCAGTGCACCCTCCCTCTGACTAAATTACAGATGGCTGAACTCCCTGTTCCAGGCCGAATTGTCATCCCCTGGGTCTTCTACTGAGCTCGTTAACTCTGGTCTTCAGGATGTGCCTGATTCATACCTGGGCTCCTTGGAATTCCATTAAAGTCAAGTCAGTAGGGTTCACCCAAATGTGTCAGGGTTGGTGACTTTATCAAAAAAGGACCGTGTCAGAACCTGAATTCACAGAGGAAAAACAGCCTGCATACTCAGCCATGTGACACGGGGTCAGGGAAGAGCCTCAGAAGAAGCCAGTCCTGCCAATATTTCGACTTTCAATTTCCAAAGAGGTGGGGAAGAAATATCTGTTGTCTAAGCCACTGCATCTGTTATGCTTTGCTATGGCAGCCGGGGGACTGAGGCGCTCCCTGACCGAACCGCAGAGAGGTAGGGTGGATTCGATGATAAACGTGGCCAGCAAGACCCAACTATGCAGCATTCACCAGAGACTCGCCTGAGATCTGGGGACACACAGAGGCAGAAGATGAGATAGTGCCAGATTTACACAGACAGAAGGGAAGATAATGGCTTCCAGAACGAAGGGAAAGAAAAGGAAAAATGTGGAGATATTTGGATGGAGGGTGGGGTGGGAAGCTGAGACACCTGGGACACAACAAGGTGGTGACAGTTTTGGTTGGGTATGATGAGAATTTTCTGGAGATGAATGGTGATGGACAGATGCACAATAATGCAAATATAGCTGATGCCACAGAACTGTATATTTAAAAATGTTAACATTATGAAATTGTATATTCTATAAATCTTAGCTCTCTTTCACTCTTCATATAAATGTCTATCTCCATATAAATATTTATATGTCCATATGAACATACTCCCATCTATATCCATATAAATATAGATATATATCTCCATATAAATATGTATATATTCACTTGGTGTTTTATAAAGGGTCAGACTCGTAGCTGACCAAGTACATGTGTATTTTACATCTTCCTCTCTCTATATATACATCTATTTTATTCATCTCTCTATACATATTTTATTTCATATGTATATATATGCATATATATGTATATATATATATATAGAGAGAGAGAGAGAGAGAGAGAAACATAATGAAAGTGGACAGACATATAGAAAGAAATACAACATAGAGAGATAAACATGTCTGAGCATATAGCCATCAATGTACAGGGATGGAGATTTAGATATATAAATGTCTCTCATTCTTATAGCTCTTTTTCTCCAACCCCTGGTTCTACGATCTGTGTCATATGCCAGAGTGAAGTTCCCATGAACAGGCAATTTTCTTTTGGCAATTCTGTAAAAGTGATCTCTGAAATATACTTAGATTTGGTAATTTCAAACCCCACTCTGGAGTATACCATTTCCACCGTGATTTCTTTCTGCTAGGACCACCTAGATGCCTCAGTTCCCTCCAGGTAATCAGTTCTCATTGGTGTTTAGCCAGAAGTCATATTCCCTTGCATGGTCTTATACCACCGTCCTGTAGAACTCAAACCAGTCTACATAAGTGGTTTTGAAAAGATCCACTTACATTTCTTTCTGTGTGTCTTTTTCACATGGAATCATAGTAAGAAGAAATGAGAGAAGTTGGAGGTGTCTATTTAAGTTAGAATAAAGCACCGTGGCTCTTTGTAAGGATAATGCCTGAATCACCTACCTATGAAAGAAAAGGCAGGTAGTTGGAATGCTGTGAGAACACAGATTGCATTAGACACACTTAAAGGACTGGAGATGCACAAGATAATAGAAAAGGGAGGAGATGAAAAATGTGAAGTTGGAGCGACTCTCAGGGACGGGTAGCTTCTGTGACCATGTGATGGGAAAGCAGGTGACAAACAGGACATGCACAAGAAAACAGTAAGGTGCAATATCTCTGAGGCCTGCTTTGTCCACATTGTGAGTAGCTAAGTCCTTTGCAGACTGAAGCTGCCATGTTAGAGGGATTCATTGTAATCAGTCGACTTCAGGCAGGGTACCCAGGGCCACAGAGGAGCATTAGCAAAAGAGAGGAACTGCTGGACTTAATACCATTTAACTGTAGTTTTCTGAATTTCTGATTTTCCCATATCACAGGACACATGAAACTCAACACTGGAGCCATCTGGAACAAACTGTGCAGCTGGGTGCAGGAAGGAAGGTGCAGGAAGGAAGCAGAGGAAGAACAGCGAAGGAAGCCAGTGAGAACACAGCAGGAGCAGGAGCAGGAGCCCAGCCCTGTGCTGAGAGAAGTTATAGCCATGTGCACAAGAGAAGAGGAGGCTTTCATTAGTGGGATAACCAGAAATAATTACAAGGAGACTGCTAAGAATAACTCTGTTGTCCATGATGAAAAAATTGAACATAACATTTGCTAGAGACTCAAGTTTCATTTGCATATGCTTGTGCATCTAATCTATGCAACTTCTCCATTACATGCTAATGTTAAAGCCATTTTACTGGAAGAAACAGTCCAAGACTAGCTTTATGACACAGTGAAAAACAAACAGTCTCTCCCTACGTTTCCTCCAGTGACCTAAGGACACATTACGCTCATAGGCTGTGTAAACTAAGTAAGGTCTTGGTTAATAAGAAGTTTGATTTCTTTAGGAGTGAAAAATATATTTTAAATGAAGAGAAAACATTCAATATAGTAAACATTAAAGAATGCAATTTATAGTATTTTTAATAAATACTGACAGAGGCAAGTAAAGAAAAAGTTATTCAGCAAAATATGGATGATTGCTGTTTACCCTTTTGGTCACTAATCTACCTAATGAACACAAAATTTAGAAAATAACTTGGAAAATGTATAAAACATAATTAGTAAGCTTTGTATATAGCTATGACCTGACACTTATGCAACTAGTGGGTAAATATACTAAATTTTTAGCTCAGAGTGTACCAGCAAATTCTTATGCATATCTCTGTGTGCAACATTTATACTGCAATGAATGAACTAACACAAAATTACATTGGGGCAGGAAAGAAATTAAATCACAGGAGTTGGCCAATGAGAGAAGAATTTAAAATATTAAATTTTTAATTTTTCCTTTTTTAAATGGTTGCTTTACTACATATATTATTTCCTGTGGTTATTCTCTGTTGTCAGTGTACACCTGTGATACACAATATGTATATTCATCTGGGAATGAATTGGTGCACAC